CCAAACTTGTTGTTTTAACATTTTGAATATTTTGGAATGTTTGAATTTGTGGATTGATTGACTTTGAATTTGTTTGGATTTATGAATGGTTAGAAATTATCTATTTGGTGTGATTAAATTTATTCATTATTGCATCATTTACTTCATGATTAGATATATGACCAATTTTTCCATTTCACATTAATTATGAATAATGATTATGAAAATAATGGCTAACGTTTCTCTTGCTTGTGATCTTAGCAGCTTATATTATATATAATCAATTGGCTAAATAATTTCAAAACCTTGTTTAAATTCTTTAAAATGTCTTTTTGATTTAACAAAAAGGGGGAGAAGTGTTAAAGTGTTTTTAAATGATAAATGGGAGAAGTGTTAAAGTAAGGGGGAGTAATTTCAAAACTTGATTTCAAAATCTTAAAATTACTAAAATGTTTTGTTATATCAAAAAGGGGGAGATTGTTGAAAACATTTTGATATTTCGATATAACAAATTAAGTTAAATGAATTTTAAGATTTTCCAAATGATTTTCTAAGTATATTCGATAGAATTATTCGAATATCAAAACATTACTCCAAATCTTTCAAAGATCATTTTTAATCCTTACTCAAAGTGTAAAATTAAGTTTTAATCTTAAAACAATTTCAAAATAATTTTACAAAGTATTTCGAACCATTTCAAAGCCAAAAATTCTAGATTGCTCAGAGGGAACCGATTCCCCCCTAAGGGGGCACCGATTCCCCCTGCATGGTTTGGCTCCGAGAATTCCAGTATGCTCGGAGGGAACCGATTCGCCCCCCCCCATGGGGTACCGATTCCCCCCTTGTATAACGGTCGAAATATTTGAATTTTACACTTAGGGAACCGATTCCCCCCACGCTCCAAACTATTTTATTAATTGTTTTCACACTAAAATGGCTATATTATTTTCTCTAATTATCCCTAACGTTCAGAAGTGATTCAAGGTGTATTTAAGCAAGCTTATAAGCCATTGATCAACAACAAGAAACATCAAGCAATTAGAATCAAGAAATTATAGAGAAACAAGAGAGAAAGCATCAAACACCAAGTTTGTGCAAATCAAGCCAATTTTCCTTTCAATATTCATTTTTCTTTCAAGAACACCATTTGTGCTCATTTGTAATTATCTTTGAGTGTTCTTTTCTTGTTCTAGAATTGTGCAAACATCTTACCTTGTGAGGTTTTCCTTGTAAGTTTGCAAATTTGTAATCTTCTCTTTGGGAAAGAGTGTTCTCAAGAATTGGGGTATATTCTTGAGGGTGTTGTAAGGTTATCTCTTTGGCCTCAAAAGAAAGAACAAATTAGTGAATTTGTTGGAAAATCCTTAGTGTGGATAGCTAAGGTGTGGACGTAGACTTTGGTTGATAAAGTCGAACCACTCTAAATCGCTGTGCAATTTCTTTCAATTTTCTGCAAAAGCTTCCACCAAAATTTTTATTGCCAATTCACCCCCTCTTGGCCGATTCAGTCAATCGATTAACTCAACAAATGGCATATAAGTGATATGAAGGGATGATATATATATATATATATATATATGGTACAACAATGCATAACTATTATGCAAAGATGTTATAAAGGAAAACGTAAACAGAACATAATATGCATGAAAGGATACCCAAATGAAAATACAAAATGGTGTATTAACAGTATCTGAGGTGCTACCATAATGGTTATAAAAGATACATGATCAATTAGAACCTTGGTACAATACATGTATAGTACTTTCACATTTAATGTACACATGGCAAATAAAGAATAAAGGGGGAAATATACAGAAGGATAAGTATAATGGACATAATAGAAATAATTTCCAAGATGGTACGAAATAATTATGGTTTAATTGATAAGGGCTTAACTGGTCCTTATGAATGATGAAATTAAATTCTTCATTTAGTATTCATATGATAATGTTGGGTAATTTGTAATATTCATGCAGTATTATGTTTCACTAAGTAAATACTTAATGTGTGTTTATTTCACGCGTAGGTAAAGACAAAGATTAGTGGCGTAGGGAGTGTAGCAGTAGCAGCAACTTTCATCAATTAAAGGTTGATACATCAGTAACATTATGACAATCTTATTCATTTGGGAACTGAAGTGGCATGTAATTAAACTATAGTAAATATTTTGCAATGTACTTAATTGATAGTTTTAATATGTTGCTTTTATAAATATCATATTTTGTATTTGATCAAATTGAAACAAATTTTTATGGGTTTTCAAATAGTTTTATAAAGTGATGTGACATCTGTATCTCGTGTACAAAAATGTATACAGAATATGGGTGTTACAGAAAGTCACTGGACTTGCATGTTCTTGGAAATTTTTTTAATAAATTGAATAATTAATGGGTTCTCTTTTGTTTGAAAATTACTCTCCTGACATTCATATAATGACCATATCTTCTAAATAGTTGTGTATTCTTTCAATTTGGGAACAAGCAAAAAACGAGACGCTTTTATTCGTGAAAAATGATCTAATAATTATCCTTGAAGGGTGCTCATCGGATTGCTTGGGATAACCTTGTGATATAGAAAAGGACAGGTGATATGGGAGTAGAGTTCCAAGCCTTTAATACAACACTAATCGTTAAACAAGCAATGTTCGTGGGCATGGAGCTGCGTACGAGAAGGCCTAAGATTTCTCTCCCAAGGCATTCGTTAGAACACTGAAAACGAAGATGATTTCATGGTATGAGATGATAAATAGTTAGTACTGATTGAAAAAATAAATTAACATAACAAGCCGTAAGTTTGAGGTTAAGGCAATTCTACTCCCGACAAGAGCATCTTGACGATTTTAGGGCAGTGGAATCTTGACATTATCAATGGATAATAGTGTTAATTCGTCTAACCGATTAATAAAATGAAGATATTCTTCCTTTTAAGATATAACATTGGTAGTTTAATACTCTTAGTCAAAGAGAAGGAATATCTGCTATGATAATATCGTAAAAAAGTCTCAACATCATGACAGCATGACGGAAGATATAACTAATCTTTAAATCATGATAATGAAAATATTTGTAAAGAATATTAATACTTAAACAGAGAAATAAGAACTTTGATCTTTACACGTAATAAGAATATTTCAGTATTATGTAAATCACGTAGAGGATGTTCTTAACACTTATAAGGGTAGTAGCCAAGTTTTGTTCTAGGCTTTTCTCTCTCTTAAAGTGTAGATAAACTTATCTCATCTACAATATAGAGAGTTTTTTCTCATCTAATTTAAAATTAATTTGAGATCCACGGAAAATATTCACGTCCACACTATGAGTTTTTTCAAATAATTTTTTTTATTAAAACTCGTCATATCAAGACGACAAGTTCTCAAATAATATAATTTTTATTAGAATTTTATCACATCGAAGTGACAAATTTTAATAAAAAATATATTTTATTAGATCTCGTCACGTGAGTGTAACAAGTTCCAAATTACTATATATAATATTGTAGTTCCCAAAATAAAAATATTTGGTGTTATATTTGGACTAAATAATTAGTCCGCCTACGTTATTAGACCAATTTTACCTAGGTGGTGTTTGTTTTTGCAGAGGTAAAAGGTCTGCAGTCTGCGGACCACATCTGCAGGCTTCTGCAGCAGAAGAGGTGGACTAAAAGTCTCCAGTCTGCAAGAAGAAGACTGTTTGTTTTTTAACGTCTGCAGACTGCTAAAATGAACTGAAATATAAATAAATTGATTTTTAAACTTAAAAGAGTTTTGCAATACTGAGATTTAAATAATTTTAGTTTTACAATACTGAAATTTAAATAATCCATACAACTACAATAATAAATTATTTAAAATAAATCAATCCATATTTTAAAATAAATTAATACATACTAATAAATTATTTAAAATAAATCAATTTATACAACTACAATAACAAATCAATCCATATTTTAAAATAAATCAATCTATACAAATAAATTATTTAAAATAAATCAATCCATACTAATAAATTATTTAAAATAAATCAATCCATACTAATAAATTATTTAAAATAAATCAATCCATACAACTACAATAATAAATCAATCCATATTTTAAAATAAATCAATCCATACTAATAAATTATTTAAAATAAATTATTTTAAAATAAATCAATCCATATTTTATAATAATTTATTTTAAAATAAATTATTTTATAATAAATTATTTTAAAATAAACTATTTTATAATAAATTATTTTAAAATAAATTATTTTAAAATAAATAACCTTATTAAATTATTTAAAATTATTTTAATAAATAACTATATTTTATAATTGTTCTTGAAGAGGTTTGAAGACCTTTGAAGACATAAAACCAAGTCTGTACTAAGAAGAGCTCGCGCAGACGTTTGAAGAGCTTATGTCTTCTAAAAATCAAACAGTCTACGAAGTCTAATGTCTGCACGTGGTCTGCGCGACGCAGACATAAGTGATTTGAAGAGTTGTACAGTGAAAACAAACACCACCCTAATGTTATAGTATCTATTAGTTACAAGATGAAATTTTATAATTATTAGTACTTTTTAAATATTTGAAATATTTTATTACTTTATATTTGTCTTCAATTTCATATCATAAAAACGTACGTTATTATTATTATATTTATATTATATTATAATTAATTAAATTTTGATAAATAATTTATTACGCTTTATATTAAATATTTGACTACTTTTAAAAAAATATTTAATTGCATTTTAATATAAATTGTTTATATGCAAATACTATTTTACATTATTTTTATACAAAAAAAAATTATATTACATTAAAAATTAAATATTCGATAAATAAAATCTAATAACTATTAAGTTACACTCCCATATTTATATTGGATTACAATTTAATACGTAATGTTTTTGTTCAAATCAATAGCAAAATAATAATAATAATAATAATAAATAAACATTATAAAAAAAGTTAATAAATAAATATTTGGGTTGTTCTTTTCAACATCTAAAACCCTTAACCCTAGTATAGGTCCGTTGCTTATCTTTCTAACAATCGTCTGCTCCACCTCTTATTTGCCTCCGTTCCGATGGCTTTAATTTCCCGATTCCGTCGCGTCTTGACCGGAACCTCTCCTCTGTGCTCTCAGTTCTCTTCGATTCGTCTGAATTCGACTCTCACTTCCCCCAAGCTTTTCATTAGCGGTATTCTCTCATTTCCTTTACCTTTCTTTTCTAAGGTTTTTCCATAGAAGCGATTAATTTGATTTCCATATCTGATTTTTTTTAATTCAGAATCTTTTTTGAATTGGGTCTTGAATAAAGCAAGAAATTTAGATAAAATTTGGGGGAAATTTATTTACTTATCCTAAATATATGCAATGCTTTAATAAGATTCAAAACTTGGAGAAATTTCTTCCTTTTTCTATTAAATTAAACACAAAGCATACATTATAGGATTTGATTCCTCCTTTACTTTTATGTCCACTACCATCCCTTGCTAGTTTAATCACCATTTACTAGTATGACTTCAATCATTCATCAGTAGTGCTGCACGTTTAAATGATGATGAATATATTGGAAATAATGGATGAAAATGTATAGATTCAGTGTCAACCCGAATTTATGAGGCTAGTCAAGCTTTAAAGTCATAAACTTTATTATTCAAAACCCAATTGCCCCTTTTTCCATCTTAGCTATTTAGTTATGCCATGAAGAATTTAGTATTTCCCTTTTCATTTGTCTGAGTCATGAACTGCAATCACATTCTTACTTCAGAGTTATAGGTGCATAAGGAGTGAATTACTGTCCATGGTGTTGTCTCAAAGTGCCTATTTTCAGAACCTTCCATGGCAGGTTTAGTATCTTTATTCCAAAATGAGAATATAGCATTCGTGTTAGGATTAGTTGGATTGAGCTCATATCTAGTGAAACCTAGTCTAAAATCTTTGGTGTGTCCAAGTGTATTGTCATTACAGTTTGAGTTAATATGGATTGGATTAGTTGGGTTAAGGCAGCATCTGGATGCGTGGCAAACAACTTGAGGTGCCATGAAGTTCAATGCTATTATCCTATGATTGATTGGCATTAAAATGACAATTTTTCGGACGAATGGAAAGGATTTTGTACCAAATTCTACATTAATAGTTGTAGGATTGTTACTGGCTTAGAGTAGCTTTCTTTCATTCCGTGAGATGCCTTTTTGTTTTATTGTTTTACGTTATGCTCAAGTTTCGAAGGAAAAAGATATGAAGCATATATCATACTGAACCTAGTCTGAATTTTGGGTTAGATGAAGAATGGATGAATAGCATTGGCAATGGTGTGGCAGAAAGATATGCATGTGATAAGATACATATTCTCATATAGGTAGTAGAAAATGAAAGGTTGCATTATTAAGCATAAGGGTCCCGAGATCATGTCTAGGTTCAGAATCATAACCACCCTTTTTCTTGGCATGTCGAACAGGTCTCTCGAGAGAAACAACAGATGAACAATTCCAAGAGGCATTTAACCCATTTGGCCAGATTGTCGAAGGTTTAATTTAACTGTTCTTGTTTTTCTTTCGTCTTTAGAGTTAAGTGTTTATGTTACATTCTAATTATGTTTCAGCCAAAGTCATAAGAGATAGAGCCACCGGAAGGTCAAAAGGGTTCGGTTTTGTTACATATGTGTCCATCGAAGAAGCTGAGAAGGCTCGAGAAGAAATGAATGCCAAGTTCTTGCATGGATGGGTTATTTTCGTAGACCCTGCCAAACCAAGGGAATACAAAGCTCCACCGAGATCTGAATCCGAGCATTCTGAAATTGGTTTCAGAACAAACAAAACTGTCGGATGGTGTGGGTATAATTAGTTCATCTTAAAATACATAGAGCATTGTTGGGTTTATTTGAAAAAGCTACAAGATTTTCATACGTTACCTATAATTTTTGCTCAAGATAGAAGTTGTTGAATATATGATTTATTCTTCATGGGGAAACCTGTTAACTTATGTGTATTATAACTCAATTTATTGTAGTGGACGTTTTATTGTAGTGTTAAAGCTCAATATTTACACCTTTACATTCTTTTCATAATTTTAAATGCAATTCTCTGCCTTGAGTTCTTTAATTTGATTTTTATTTGTGTTTTTCCTTTGTGTGTTGGTGTATTTGTTGCAAGATTGGCTGTCATATTTGTTCTCGTTGTGGTACACTTTAATATTGGGTTTATTTTGATGTACCGTTTTGAATTGATCAATATTTTCCAAATATCATAAAAAATTTATTGCAAATATGCAGATATATTTCAATTATATTCATATTGTTGATAATCACAGAAAAGAAGTTATCATGGTTTCCACGGACAAAAAAGACATTCAAAGCTTTGCTTGAAGAGGGACATGGTCAAAACGAAGTTATCATTGGTCTCTGCTACATTACCAGCAACAAGAAGAACATCTTGGTCATGCGTATTAGTAGTCGAATTCCTCATTCGTGCCATCATATTTTGAAAGTCCAAGAGCACAAAAACTAGTAGGCTAAAACCATCTTTCTTAGCAGCAGACAATACGTGAGGCCTTTTAATGCAATCCCTCTTTATGCATCCTCCTATAATCTTTGAAATGTTATCTTCTCACAGAAAGAGTACGAAGATTAACTCAAGCACGAGGTCATGAGTGGTGTTCAGTCTCAAGGGCAATAGCCAAATTGCTTCGGTTTACCAAAAAACCAGCTGATGATCAACAAACAGGTAATCACAAAGAAATAGCTTATTTATTACCTTACAAAGGTTAAGTATCTATGATCTATCCACTAATCAAATACAAACTCCACCTACAAAATTAACTAGTATATTGGGTAAAACCACAGACAAAACATATGCACTAGAATTGATACCCTATATAACTAAACCTTGCGATTGTTCTACTATTACTTCACATTTCAACGCTTTTTAACAATAGACACAAAACGTAGCTCAACTCAACCGAGTAAGCAGTTGTCCTTTGAGAACATTTTAATAAGTAAATTGAAGCTCATACATGGAATCTCGTTAGTTTACTAACATGAGTTAATGCTCTAGCAAAAACTTGTTGTGTGTGTAAATGTGATGCGTAAACTGTACAAGTATACAAGTTAATCAAGTAATAATAGTGATGAGCGAGATCGTCTTCACAGGGATCAGAGAGAAATTAAGATAAGTAAATACACTCCAAATGTAAACAAAAGTATTGTGATTGAAGTTATATGAACAAGTGTAACAAATGCTATAGCAAAAATGATGAGAAATGAGATTCACAAGATAAACCAACAAAATCTCACACGTGTTGAAAACTCAAGAAGAATAAAAGGTTGGGTTTACTATGTATTCATATGCTTTGTCCTAAGAGATACCTAGTAACCTACCATTAATACACTTCTCAATAGAGTTTACAAAGTTGTCTCTCCACTATCTCTAGCATGAAACTGGCAACAAAATGCTAAAGCAATACATTTCTGTGTAAAGCTTAACAACTTACTATCTATTAATCCCTACTCATTTTTGTCGTTGAAAACCCACCATATCTCTAAGGTGAAGGTTAAGCTTCCCAGATCAACCCTATTGTTCATGTAGATCTAACTTAACTCTCTCGAATTTTAAACATCTAATTAGGTTTTGGCCATCTCTCGAAGGCTCTTACTAGCCTAAGCAAGTAAAACAAGCAAGTAAAACAGTGAACAAAACATGTATTAATAGAAAAATGCTAAGACATTCATTTAAGCAAAATCATCATCATCCATAATAAACTCAAGCCAGCTTAAATCAGTTCATGGTTGGGCAAGAAACATCCATAGTTAAACATTCTAGAAATATTCTAAAGAAATGATAAATGACACAAGAGAATAAACGAAGGTAAAGAAAATTCTTGTGCTGCCACGAGCTGAGTTGAGCCTAGCAAACTTCTCTCAAAGACTACGTGATATCCTTTCAAGCATTCAACAATGAAAGTTGTCCGTCGAAGAAGGAGACAAAAAAAGAGTTTCCTTTTTCTTTAGATTATCTCATTAAATTCTAGCATGCCTTTAATGTGGTTTCCTTTTCTTTATATAGTGGAGACTCCTAGGGTTTTGTGCCCTTACTTCTTTGTTATGCCCAAGGAAAATATTTCTTTCACGTGTAAGGAATATATTTGGTAGGGAACCATACATGCAAACTCAAAATATTTTTCTTTGTCTTTTAGCTCCAAAAAATGCTATCAGCAATTCGCTCGCTCCTTGCCTATGCAAATTCCACGACAATCTACCACTTTACGTCATTCCTTATAAACCTGCACAAATCATCGTCAAGCAACTACCTTTCCCTTATCAAAGCATCATTTAATGTATAATTAAAACCCACAAGCAAACTTCACTATGCATGATTAATGCAACTATATGCAACTAAATGAGCTTGAAACCAAACAATAACCCAAGTAAAAAGACAAAAAATATACATTTTTTATGGGGTTAATACACCCTAAACTTAAGCTATTGATTGTCCTCAAACAATGAAAAGTAACTAACAATAAAAATGATATGACAACAATTCATCTCAAAACATGTCATGTCAAATTTTCAGTCTTCAAAACAATAGGCTTCAATATGCTAGACATATTAAGATTCTAAGGACCATTTTCTAAGACTAGGTTCTGTACATGTGTGTGAATAATTGCATCTAATCTATGCTTTACAGGGTTAGAACATTTCTAAGTAAGTTCTCTAGTTCACATTAGCATTTTGTTAACAATTAAGCACACTTTTACACCCATTACTCTAACAAAAAAAATTTGCACTATTTTCAATGGGCTTTAGCTCATCACACATACATATTGTCCTAGATCTGAAGATGAAGCAGAGCAAACATCCCATCCCCAAGCCTATTAAGTAGAGTCATCCCGTGAATACTTTCATTCACTTATATACAATTGCTGTCAATTATTCAAGTGGGGTTACTAGGCTAACAACGCAAAAAGGAGTGTCCCTAATTAGTTTATGCCATTAACATTTATTCACAATTCATAAAAAAATTTAGTATTCATAGGGAGCTTAATTAAAGCATTTTATACTAGTATTGGGCATTAACATTCATTAGTTTCATTTAATGCTAAGGCATACAAGAGTTCTCATAAAAGTTCTCTAAAGCGCTTAAGCATAGAGAACATGTAATTGTATAAAGGTTTAAATGCAAAGAAAAAAATCCTAAGGTCAATTCTAAGGAATCCCAATAGTCATGTACATTCAATTCACAACTATAAAAAATTCTCATCATTGGAAATCATCAAATTATTTATAATCTGTCTCCAAAACAAACAAAATGTCATAGTAGGGTACTATTAATTAATCTAAATAAAATGAATAACTATGAACAATGACCTCCTCCAAACTTAAAGGAAGCATTGTCCTCAGTGCATGAAAAACTAATATAAGATGCAATGCAATGCAAGGTACATCGACTTTGGATCCTACCATAAAGGTGGAGTTGACTTATGTTCCATATGCTTGGTATGTTTATTCTTCCTCAATAATGCAATAGCTTCTTCATGTTCAACAGAGGTTTTCGTTTTTCATTAGAATCATCAGAGGGTAGGTTCCAAATACAACCGATAGTGTGCTTTAAACGACATTGCTTGATGGGTGTTGAAACTATGGTGGCACATGTGGTGGAGGAATATCGTCATTTAATTCATTTTCATTACCAACCAGGAGAGGATCATATTCTTGGGCTTAAGCGAGTGCATCATCTATCGGGGAGTTTTCTTTATCAACTTATTGAGGAGGTTGGCTAGCTGCAACATCTGGTTGCTCCTCCTCGTGAGTGGTTGCCTCTGTGATATAACGAGCAACGACTTAGGGAATGAGGGAAATTCTACAAAACGTGTGTGACAACAACTCCTTAAAAAGTGAGAGTAGCACCTGATCTCGTTCCTTGACATAGCTAAAAAAGGTTGTGAGATTGCTCTTAATGAATTCCAATTGTGCTGAAGTACTTCTTGTAACACACCGTACCCGATCACGCGGAACCACTCGAGTACCTGAGTGTACATTAGAACTCGAACATTGTCGGACAGAATGAAAACCATAATCATGCTTACTATGCAGAAACATACAAATTTAAATCATATACCATGCAACACATGGCAATAGATAAACAAACAACATTTAATAGCACCTAAACAATCGAGGGATTGCAAGACATACATTATTAGCTAAGGAGGGGTAATTCGATAATTTCACATCATCAAGTAATTCAACCCAGAAATATTAAATTAATTTTACCAATATTCATTATTAATCCTTAATTAGTGAAACACAAAATCTATATTAATCAGACATCAAACATGAACCTAATTGAACATGCTTTTCTAAGGGCTAAAACGTAAACTTTTCAAAATATGAAAATAAACAAAAAAATATAAAATTATTATCATTATATATTCATAGAACCAATTTCAACAAAATTTGAGTTAAAACCAAGCTTTAATTGCAAATTCATGTTTTTGGACCAAATTGAATATATTTTAAAGTTTAGGGACTACCCAAGGACTTAGGGGACACTTCAGGTATTTAATGAATTTAATTTTACCAATTTTCATTGAGAAAACAATGAAGGGATTGATCCATTTTCATGGAGGATCGATCCTTTGCAAAAAATGGGTTTGGGATTGATCATTTTTTAGAGGGATCAATCTTTTTTTTTTCTGGAATTACATAAATTTCATACTAATATACAAGAACATGCATATCATGAAATTGATCCTAGGTCTATGAACATGCTTGGACACCCTTAAACCACTTAGAACATATCATAATACATATATAGCATACTTTATAACATCATTTAACATAACATACAAGT